CTCGCCCTCTGTGTCAGACTTCAAGCAGCAGCGCACGAATCGATGTGATTTGCGCAGTTGGAACTGAAATTGTATCAAACGCGCGCCAAATGCATGCAACTCAATGGTTAGTCAAACGATTGTCGCACCAACCAAGCATTTAATTTACACTGAGTACAAACTGCATGCGCTGTTAACTCGAAAGTTTTGAGAACCGGGCACTCAGTGGGGTCGAATGTATTGAGAACAGTCTATGGCTGGTGGCTAGTTTCAGCCACCCGAATTGTGCAGCTGCATAATTAGTTATGATCTTGTCCGTTACGGCGGTTGTTCTGTTACAAAGGGATGTACATTACTACTAAGTAACAAAAGCCTAGTGTAGGATCAGAAGTCACCTGCTTACAGAAACCAGAAGCTGAAACTGCATAAGAGTGTAAAACGTGCTAGTTATCCGACCATTGTCACCAACTGTTACTACAACCCTGATGACGCTTACGCTGGAAGCGTCAGCAGTGTAGAACTTCAAAGCCGGCTTGAATGCGCAGATTATCAAAATCTATCTAGTCCTTGGTCGACAATACCCTTGTGCATAATCAATATTACAAGCGATGTGTTTTGAATGAACGGGTCGTGAGGTAATGGGGTAACAAAGTTCATTTATTGGTATAGGGGGTGTAAGAGAGCTTGATGGAGGCGCTGTTATTGTTTTTCTCTCGAAAAGGTGTTTTTTGCGTATCAGCACGGATACAACACCAATGGCGTAATTTTTATAAGGAGGGGTGTCTATGTCTATAAAAGAAGGTAAGAAAGACAACCTATCTATAAATGTACATAGTAAAAAACAACGAGTGAACAGAAATATGGTTTTCCGGAGATAAAGTAGCCCGCTTATCTGGCGGCACCGGGGGGTTTGCGTAATGCAGGGAGGGACACTAGTCCTTATCTTAGCCTCCCTTCATAATTAAAGGAACGACTGACCTAATAAGTTAGTAGGAGATGTTGCATCATCACTCAGCCAAATTTCTTCTCCATCAATGTCCCTTCTGTCACTGTTGCAGCAAGTATTCTTTTAAAAAAACATCTTAGCCTCTAAAGTGCTGAGGTTTACAATTTGTAAGAGTTATTGGTGGTGCCTGGACGCTGAGACCATCAGCCATACCCTATAACTCTGCGCTAGAAGACGAGTCTATCAGAGTATACTCCGACGCTCAGATCTTCCTCACAAATACAATGTTGGTTCTCTGCCATGTTGAACAAAGAAGATTAAAGTATAAATGGTTTGGCTTCACGATTTGAACATGTGAAAGTTTGATGCGCGACATCAAGACTGACAATAGTGTAGGACTGCTTGTAGGCGTAATAAAACATAGTAAATCCAGGCATAGGCTAAAAATGATTACGCTGACTTACATAGAATTCTCTTACAATGTCTAACATGCTACACTGCAAAGGTATATAACTTACGAGATCTCCAAAAGATTTTCGGTCAACTAAACAGGACCTTGCAATGACTCGCCCAACAAAACAAAAAAGAAATCTATCTCAAAAATCTGGAAATGCCAAAAGACATACTCGAAAGAACAATCAAGACTGTAACTCTTCTTGGCTCTATAGTTTATTCCACAACTTGAGAACTTATTCCAACCCTAACTCACGAAAACCTAGGAATGATAAGGTTCTTCGCCAGGTTCCAGGCCAAATAATTGATGAGGAAGCAGTAGAGAGGAGCCTTTGCGCAGAAAGATCATACAGGTTATTAGAAAGCTATCAAAAGTGTCGAGGCAGTTGTGCAGACTACGAACATTATGTACACAAAGACGACACTATCGGGGACGTCGCATCTTGTTGGAAATGCAAAGCTACCACCCAAGGCAAGAATCCAATACCAAAGGAACAAGGCAAATTTAGGAAAAACCCAGAAGTGATCCTCCGCAACCTAAGCTTTCCATGTTTCCCTGAAGTTATCAAGTCTAGGGAGCGTCATGTTTTACCTGTATTGGAGCGAGGAAAAATACTCCTTGTGAAAAGATACAACAACGCTGAAAAATTAGTCCCTGGCGTAGAGGAATATGCTGAAATCCCTATAACAGAAAGTGGGTCAGTCGAAGAAATTATGTATTCTGTTCTTCAGTACTATAGGTTTAGAAGTCACTTTCTGCCACATTTATGCTTTAATAATCTGTGGGTCTGTGGTATAGAAAAGATTGACGAAACACACTACCGATGCAAACTAAATTTGTGAGGGTTGGAAAATATCTATATAGTTACTTATAAGAATGCTGGTGCCAATTGCAGTTGGATCGCAGCTATGTTGATATCTCATAAGCCGCCTCGAACCTTTACAATACGAAGAAATTGAGCCCATGATTGGTCCCGAAGGCATCCCAGAGCGGGGATGTTATGTTTCGCCTTCGCATGCTGTCGCATAAAATTCCAGTTAACGTCCGTCCCTCCGTGCCGGGACGCACGGTGTGACGGGACACCTTTTCTTCCGGATGCTCGGGTTGCGTGTAACGTACTCAAAAATAGACAAACACAATTCGTATCTATTTTAGTTACAGCTCTCTTCCAGTTTATCACCCTCTGACGCTAAAAAGCGTGTTGTTGGCTATGCTNNNTGTAACGTACTTAAAAATAGACAAACACAATGCGTATCTATTTTAAAGCGTGTTGTTGGCTATGCTGTCGCTCGTTCTGTCAGTGCCGTTTATCGACTCTCCTCTAATACACCCTTGTTCCTCCTTTCTGCCAGCAACAACATCAAATGCATTATTGAATAGCTCCTTATCATTCCTCGTTCAAATGTTTTAGTAGTTAACCTCAAATCTCATCTTCGTGACTTCGTTGTCTCGTATTTGGGACATATTGTACATCTCTAAAGATTTTGAGAGAAATTGACGGATATTCAAGATTAACGACTGAAGAGAATTTTCCGTCAAGGAAATAATGAGTTTCTAAATGAGTACATATTTTGAAGCGATAGGATTTGTTTCTCAAGTACTACGGAGCAGTTGCTAATTTTAAAGGTGCTTCTAACGTAATTAACAGTGGACTTTATAGAAAAAAAGCTCAGTTTATCGTGAGAAAGAGTCTTCATGAGAAGTTATCAATAGTGCTTCCTTCATATATGGAATGGCTATGTACACCTCTCTCGGCTTCTTGAATCAATAGGTTCGCGTTTCCCACTCGCTTCTTGGATTTGAAAGTTAAAAGTCAAAAGAGCGAAGAAGCTGTGGAATCACGTTGCACATTTTGTAAAGTGAGATCTCTAGCTTCCATCAGCATGTCTCCAACAACATTCTGAACACATAGAAGCTTACATTCTTTCCAGTACACATTCTAGCGTCCCCGCCAAACTAGCACATGTGTCAGAAAGAAATCGACCCATGGCTCAAAACGGTAAAACTTACCTGGAACGTATACTGCTCCATGTTGGCTGCATCAGCGCTGGATCACCGCTCAGGCATGAAGTCATCCGCATTATAGCCAAAGATACTCCATCTAGTTCTAGCTATGAAAAAAAATTAGAACCGCCATTGCTCTAACCATTTTTTCATGTCAGTTTGATCTACTGCTCTCCCTTCCCGCAGGGTCTGGCTGACGGCCTCTGTGTTCTTGGTCGCTAGTCTTGGTAATCCTGCTGCCATATCAAGACGTAGACTGTTGTAGAAATCGCACAGCTTCAACCCCGGTATGTGTTCGGCATTCTCTTTGGTCAATGGAATTCGTCCCAGCTCCTGAACCCAATCATCGTACTCAATCACGTCAATTTCCACGTCATGACTTTTGAAATATTCCAAAATAACAGGATACAACTGTCTCCAGCTTGTTCGATGGGGGTTGGCTAGATGATAAATGCGCGTGGATTGTGAAGTTGGTGCCATGGCAATATCGACTACAGTCGCACCCGCTACATCCATCGCTACCCAGTCCACCTGCTCCATGGTTCCAAGAGTCTTTGGTAGCTTTTTCATGAACTTGCTTGTGTGAACTAACGATGGTAGCCATTCATGTCGGTTCCAGGCTGCTCCACCGGCCTGCGCGCTAGGTCCTGCTAGCTGACTCGCGCGAATGATGGCAGTTTGTATGCCAAGGCGATGTGAGGCGACTGCAAGTATCTCAGCTGCAACTTGCTTTGACTCGCCATAGCCTTGTGGTAGCACAATCGAGCGGTCAAAAAGGGTAGTGGTAGATTCTGGTACAGGAGAACCGTCTTGTACAATGCTGCCCCACCTGCCAACGCTGGCAATCGACGAAACGAAAGTGATCGAAGGTTTGTAAACACATTTAGAGACAATGTCTACAAGATGCCGGGTTCCAGCAATGTGTGTTGCCTCGTAAGATGGGAGTCCAAGGTTGAAGTTTACAGACCATGCTGAATGGATGACCATCGTAACGGTGGAGACAAGCCGTTTATACGCTACCTCTGCAAGGCCAAAACGGACGGCGCTGAAATCAGCTTGGAAGAATTCGACCCTGGATAAGTCCGGGACCGGATAATGGTACTTCTTGAAGCCGTTTTCTTGTCGATTTCCCGCATCAAGCGCACGATTCAAGCAATACACTCGTTCGACATCCGGGCGCTGGAGAAGGCTTTGCAGCACGTGACTGCCGAGACTACCTGTCGAGCCAGTGAGAAGTACTGTTTGTTTCGATAGGCGCTCTCGTGCAGCAGTTCCCCGCTCCTTTTGGATTAGATCTGCTGTATACTTTCTAACCAAAGTGCCTAACTCTTCTTCACGGCTGCTTGGGTGCTTCATTTTTATACCCAAATCACTCTCGCTTAGGGACAGGGCAAGGACGAACTTTTCAACAGTGGGATTCTCGTAAACCGTCGCAGCAGTGATGTCCGTGCGCTGTAGCGTCGTTCGTAGTGCTTCCGCCAAAGTTAAAACGCTTAGGGAATCGACTTCCAGGGTGCAGATGTCGACCTCGTCCGGCGTTTCCTCACCAAAAGAAGGTAGCGAGTTCATGAAGATAGCACGGACACTACCTCTGAGGTCTACAGCACTGCTAAGTTCCCTACTGGACTCACTAGCACACGTTCCATCGTCGTACAACGCTGTGATCTTGTCCTGGAATACGACCTCTGTCTGCAGCCGCATGATCGAGCCCTTAGGCGTGCGCTCAAACGATTTTCCCTCTTCCATGACAGCGATCTTGCTCTTGTATATACGTGCATGGTCAGGCGCCTCCTTATTGGCTTGTTTCACCGTGGGCCATATGTCTTCTACCAGCATAGTCGGGTCTCTTCTTCCAACCCCGACCCATTCCGGCTCGATAAGCAGTCCAGTTTGAAACTTCCCTTTACCAACGACTATAGCACCTTTCACCCTCGGGTGGGATTCTATGAACTTCTCCATCAACACAGGATTGACTTTTTCGCCGTTGCTAAGCACAAGAGTGTCGTCTCGTCTGCCGCTGTACCTCCATAGAAAAGGCTTGGAAGGATGCTTCTGGAAGAGATCCTTGGTTTGCCATTTTTCTTCTTCTGGAAAGATATGGAAAACAGCTTGGTAGTCGGTGTTCCTTCGCGTGAGAACAAGCTCGCACAGATCATTTTCTGTCGACTCCATGACAGCACCAGCAGCATTGCTCCAGTGAAAATATCCCCACTCATCTGACGAAGTTGTGGCGAGGCTAGGTATGAGTAAGGCTTCGGTACTGCCTATGATCGTTTGAAGCTTTGTTACTCGACAAAGCTTTTCCCCGCTTGCATTAGCCAACGGCGCACCTCCGAAGAAGACTGCATCCAGTTTGCCAATTGCTTGAATACCCACTTCGGTACTAGAAATATCTTCAAGGATGGAGGGAGGAAAGAAACCGGTAGCTGGGTTGATTGCGTTGATTGTGTTGATGACTAGGCTAGCGTTCCACAGCTTTCCAGAAGGAAGGGTGGCAATTGAGCTCCTGCACATTAGCGATCGAAGCCCTACCACAATACCCATGGCGTGAAAGAAGGGGACAACAGCGAGCATTGGCCTTTTGTCTCTAAGAAATTGCCCCGTGACTTGTAGGCGGCCTTCTTCCCGATCTAGAGTCGATTGCTTGAATACCGAATTCAGGCTGTCTACGGTCATACGAACAGCCTTAGGCAGACCTGCTTTGTTATCAGATACCTACAGAATGCAATTTACAGAGCAGTATTACTAACCAGTTGAACCAGAAGTATGAAGGATCAGGCTATCAGCATACCCATCACGGCGGTGTTTTCCATCATATGGGAGTGTCGGATGACTTAGATCGAGTAGGTCTAGCAAAGATGGCACACCAAAGACCCGCATGCTGGGGATAACTTCTTGTATTTCTTTTAGACACTGGTGTTTCTCTTGCGTGCTCAGGAAAAGCGTGCATTTTGTCTCCTGAAGGATGGCTTTCTGGCCTGCAGGAGAATTTCGCGGCGAGATAAACAACGGAACGTACCCAACCTTAAGTACTGCGGACAGTATGACAAGATACTGTAAGTCATTAACACTGCTGGCATTAGCAAGGAACAAGGAAATAAGGGGCAGAAACTCAGCCTACGTAGCCAATGGTCGCACCTATGTGGTCTGGAGCTCCTATCGTGTTCTCTAGCGACCACGCTAAACTGTCCACTGCGTGCGCCAGTTGTGCGTACGTGATGTCGCGCCAGCCTTCATCGACACTGATGCTTGATTTTGGTACCCGTGCCCAAAGAGCATTCGGCTCTGCTTTTGCTGCCTCGTCGATATGATCCGGTACCGCTAGCTTTGGTTGAGAGGTAGACATTGTTGTACAATGCTCGATATCTTGATGATTGGTTCTGATTAACGCGACTTGGTTTCGAGGAGTCAAGAGCATGTAGCGTGACGCTATAAAGCTGTTGTATGTTTCTATATATCATTCTGAGCGCTTTTTCACTGTTTTCACTAAAGGGTGGCTTTAGACTGTACACATCCGCTAGTGATTAGGCTCTAGCGGCTTATCTGACTAAGATAGTAACTTGTGATACTTTGAACATTCTATTGAATAATGTCGTAGGTATAGCAATCAGTCTGCCAGTCATCCCGGCAGCTACCACTGCTCTGATCTTACAACAATGAGATGGAAGGCACGTGGGGGCGCTAGTAGTGCCTTGTTGAGCAAATACTAGCCTGTTGCAGCCAAGATATTCTCGAACAACATTATCACGTAGGCCAACAAGTTACAGCCGCATATGATACATGTAGCTGAATTTAAGTCCTGTTGCACAAATACATAGCAAAATACAAGGCTAGCTGGTGTCGCTCTTCACAAAATGCGCTCATTGGGAAGAGCCGCCCAGTAGAATCCTTTGCAGCAGAATGCATTTAGAAAGTGAGCTAGTCCACATATCTTGGACGTTGATTGCTCATCTCGTTGCGCCGAGCTGAGAAAATCCTACAGTAGCTGCGTCAATACAAGATTATGGAGAGATTTTCTCATTAGCGATTACTGCTTCATTCTGGGAGGGGGCGTTCTAAGATTCCCGTCACCAGAAGATCAAGAATTTAGCAATGACACATCAGTGGTTCCATAGCTGACCTCTTGTGCTTAGCTACAAGAAAGGGCTGCTCAAATTTGTTGTGCAACTGCGCGTATACATAGCTGAAGTCGCAGTCGCTGACGACAATGTGAATCAGTATGCAAGCATTAACAGCAAAACAATGAAGATTCTCACTACATCATGAATGGTTAGTATGCAAGTAATATGTAGCTGAATTTCAATAACACATTGTGCTACAACATCAAAAGTATGACTGTTGACGTTGCAAGGTGTACTCAATATCTAAAGTAAGCGATTTAAACGAAGAACACCAATCAATACACCTGCTTCGTACGAAGATTCGTTGAAAACGAACTTTAGCAGAAACCATGAATGCAAGTATAATCGTCATTTAGGAAAATATTATAGAGTCTAGTCTTTACTTCTCTTTTCATTGATTCTCATTGCGACGTCGTGCGTATCTGCCAGATGTTGATTTTGGTGTGAGATTTACTTAGGTGAATATTGCCAGTGCTGCGCGACCAAGATTCATGATTGCGTTTCTTCCAGGCCAAAGATAATAAGAATAGCACGAAAAACAGTAAACTCCAACCTTCTGTCGCAGCCAAAGCTATAAGGACATGGTGTAAGTAGCTGTCGCCAGCTTCGACATCACTATCCTCTTACGGCTTCGATTCACGACACGCCAATGCCCATATCACTGGTGCTTGAAACCCACCCCAAAAGATTTTCCATGATACTGGATTTTATCACACGAATCTGCTTCCGTTCGATATACCGCATAATTCTCTACGCCGTCCTAGTCATCTCTGGGTCTCTTGTCTTTGACCTCATTCATGTGCTAGCCCACAGATCACAACGATCAAGATTCCCCGTATTGCGATTCCTGGCCCAGGCTCATTCTTTCCACCATAAGTACTTCGGCCGCGACCTGAAATTCAACGACGGCTTTCGTGTGCAGAATCTGGTTTGGCATGTCCCGCTCGAGTTGTTATGTCATTTGGCGGGGAGTGCGCTGAGCTGGTTATTAGTAAAGCTCATCTCTTCGGATACTGTAACCCTGTCAGAACTCGATCTGGCCTTTGTTTGGGCTTTGCAAATAGGCCAGGCCTGTCTCATCGTATGCCGCTGGGGTCATGATTCGAATCATGTTCCATACAAGCAATTGCCGATGGACCCTTACTTCTTCTTCGTCGGCCCACAGTACCACGCGATGCATCACATTGCACCTGATAGCAACTTTGGATCTATGATTCGACTAGTCGATTGGATTTTCGGTACTGTGGGTACCCTACGTGGACGACGTGTAGCTATGACCGGTTCCCGGGGCGCACTCGGACAAGCGCTTACGCAGCAGCTTTCCCTGGCACAAGTCAAGCGGATCAAACCATTGCGTTTCGGTATCGAGTGGAGACTGGACGAATTTTCCGAACTTGACCCGGTCTTGGCTGAGACTGATATACTGATTCTTGCGCACGGAACAAAGGAGAACAGTTACGCTTTGCAGTCTAACTGTACTTCGGTTCGAACTATCATAGACCGATTTCAAGCCTGCTATACAAGCTCAGGAGTACGACCGCTGCCAGAAGTGTGGTACATCGGCAGTGAAGCCGAGCTTCACGGTAGTTGGTCAAAAACTGACGAAGCCTATACAAAGTCGAAGCGCGCTTTTGTTCCCTTCGCTCGTTCCTACTACAACAAGAAGAAGTTTCTGTATCGCCACATCGTTCCATCGGCGTTTGCGTCACCCATGGGGTCAGGGCTCGTGTCAGCAGATTGGTGTTCAAGAGTCGTTTTGTGGTGGATCTCCCGAGGGGCACGATATGTGCCAGTGACATATACGGGGCTCGCGTATGTCAATTATTTCTCGTTTGTATTTGGGTGTTCGACTTTTGTATGTGACTACGAACTCACGATGAGGATTGTGGTGTTGCTAGCGTTGCTTTGTTCGATTTGCGGAGCCTTTTTGTTCTGTTAAAACAACCAATGAGGTCAAAATACCACTGCAACCCATTCTTCAATAAGGAGAAAACTTGGGGAGGTAAAAAAGCGTTCGGTATTTCCAACAAACCACTTAAACCGAATCACCTCAGGCCTTCAAAACACCTAAATCCTTCTGTGAGTATTTGAGTGCTTCACACAGCGAGTTATCATCAGCTTTCAGTCGATGCTATGGTCTACATTTATGAACAATCAAATAGTTAATGTTGATCCCAATGCAACCAATAGAGCCAACACAAAATTCTCAACGACCATAGTCGCCTGCGCACCCGTGTTTTGAGAGCATGTGTCTACAATTCTTATCAGTTCGAAGCAACTAGATCAGAATTCACAGAGTGCTATCCACCTTTTATAATTGTCTTTCTTTGAAAATACTTTGTTTTTGTAAGGTGGGCACATGTTGCACTTGTAACTTGGGTCAGAGTGCTGAGTCTTCACGTGCCGCTTTATGTCGCCCTTGAATATAAACGTCTGCCCACAACGGTCTTCTGGGCAGCGATGTCGCTGGTCTATACTTTGATGCGACCTGTTATGGCCAGCATGCATGTTGAGTGAGTAGTGTTTGTGGCAAGAGAGTACTTACTCCTCTCCTAAACCCAGTGCTTCTCGCTTGCTTTCTGAACGATCCCTGGTTTTTTGGGGATAGTTTTGCACAATAGGACCCCTTCCCCACGACGAGACCGATCTGGATCAGGTCTTTTAATAAACCGGGCATTTGCAAAGGTTTGTGGCGGTGGAGATGGTTCTGCATGTGTTTCGCAAGGTGACAAAGGTGGTGAACATTCAACATAGTCACCATCTTGATAACATTTTTCAGATCTGCAGACATCAAACATCTGGCTAGCAGGCTTTGGGTAAATCGGATTTGCAGGTGATTGAAAGGCTCGTTCTATGGCGCTTTGTGTAGGCGCCTTCAGTTTCCTAGCGCTGGATAACTTTTTAGACTTCGTTGGGAGGAGCTAAGACGGCGCGCGATATCTGAAGTCCTGCATCTACCCTTTGCTTACGCTAAAGTATACACACGCTGCAAGTCTTGTATTTCAACTACTCGATTGCGCGTCGCCCTCTTGACCTTTGGAGCTTGATCACGTGTTTGGCCACAACATTCCACATGTCTGGTTGCATCTTCGCCATAGCGTACCAGAAAAAAGATTTGTGAGAGCGAGTGTTCTCCTCTGACTTGCTCACGGTTTCTTCGATAACTGAAGCTAGTACCACTTGAGAGTGATGAGGGAATGTAGACGTGCGAACTAACTAGCTCCACTGCCAATAATCCCTACGGTAAGAGGCACCTTGCAGCGACATAGAGAACAGTGAGCTTAACATCTTGTCTGTTATATGTGCTGACCTAGCATCTGCCGCAGTCGTATCAATGTAATGATAGCGTAATCAGCTTACTCATGGTGTGCTCAACGAGAACCCTCCATGGCTAGGCCAGAAACGCCGTCTGCCCCGGTAACGAGGATGCTCACTGTAATCCTAGCCATTCTGAGCTTGTCTACTAGAAAAATGAGAGATAGGCTTCCGCAACGAGTAGTAAGTACTGCTTTGCAACCTGAGAAGCTCTGGTGTAATGAGCAAGGCAAGAAGCTCTAGAAGACAAAATTTCTGTACTCACGCTTTTATCTATAGCCGGCTACCAGGCAGATTTGATACATTCTGGAGCATTATACGCAGGCGCCTGGGATTATTGCAACTTTATCGAAAAATGCTGCTGAACTTCCGTGGCGCTTTGAAGCTTTCTCCAGCAGCCATTCTTCTTGGGACGTCTTTCAACATACTAGAAGCAGGCAAGCAAACATCTCAATAACAAGCAGCCGATGTAACCTCTGACCTGCTGTAGTGTCCATTGGCTTGCTAATCTTTCCACCATCAGCGCACGGGGCTGCCTTTGCTAATCTACAGAGCCAGGCGATGTCTCTGTACATCATGAGGTATTACACTTGCTCTGTCGTACCAAAACTTGCTTATGATACATAGCACTGTCGTCTCCCAAATCACTCTCACCTGTGGGGGGTCGAGTATGCCGAGCGCCTTAGGCTCGATGCTGGCGGAGGCACTCCCATTTTTGAGGAGCATTGCCACTTCCATCCAGCAGGAGTTGAGCCCGGAGCATCCTGGCGTGCTTCCGACAACAATGGTCGCATATGCATTGACGAGCCTCCTGCTGGGGGGCGTGTTCTTTGCACTTGCAGCATTGCGCTGTGGTAGACTCACGGGATACTTTCCTCGAACAGTCAAGACTGGTGTAGTTGGTGAGAGCGCTCTGGGGTACTTCAGTAGATGAACTGACAGTGACAGGCGCTGTGGGTGTCTCCCTATTTGTTCTAGGGCTTGAGATTCCTTTTTCTTCCAAATCGGCCCACCTGAGCTACAAGACTCTCTTCGAAAAGAGTCATTTGCCTTTGCTGGCTGCTTCTCTAGGGCCAGCCGTTCTACTTTCTTCATCAGGTCGCCTTTCCTGCCTTGAACGAATACCGAAGAAGCCGACGAAGCATCCGCTCTATATACCGCTATTTTGTTTTGCTGTGGCGGGTGTGTTTTGGCTCGTCGTAGCGACATGCAAAGACGCTTCCATGAAAAAGCTTGTCTCAGCTGGCTGGCTCTTCAGTGTAGAGCATAGATCCACTCAGGCTACCGCCGCAGCCGAGTGGGACTACTGGGCCCTATTCAACTTCAACAAGGTCGAATGGTACGCCTTGTCGGCTGGAATCCGTGATATCATACTACTCGTTTTGATTGGCGCCCTGAGCTTACCAATTTTTGCCTCAGAAGCGCTTCTGGAACGGGGCAAGTCGGACAACAGCATGAATCACGAGTTTGTTGGCCATGGTATCTCGAATACGATAGCTGGGGCGATTGGCACTCTGCCTAATCTCTTCGTGGGTATACCAGCTCCTCCCAAGAAAGATCATCACTTATGTTATCTAGGTGCTTTCGAACTCTCGATTCTTCTATCGTGCCACAGGCCGCCGCCCAGAAGCCGCGTTGATTGCGCTTCTCACGCTTGCATTCTTCTTTTTTTCATTCCGCGTCCTGCCTTATGTACCGACCATACAGGCCTCGGCTCTTGTGCTCTTCGTTGGCATCGAGCTGATGCTGGAAGCGTTGTGGGATTCCACAGCGTCACTTACTAGCTGCGAGTGGACCGTCGTCGCGAGCACTACAATCGCTTGTACTTGGCTTGGATTCGCACCGGGAGTGGGGGTAGGATTTGCAGTTGTTGTAACCCTGCAATTTTGCTACCACATCCTCGATTCGGTAACGTGCCATGCGTCTTGAGAAGAGCGGGCGCTGACCTAATACACAGCGACCCCACGTGACACAACTGTGCACACACGTACCGTTGAGTGCGGTGCCATATATTCCATCATTTTTCTCTCAGATGTCTTTTCCTGGCGATCTGTCGAAAGAAATGGGCTATACGGTTACAGAGCTGCAGTCTTCGTCGTCTACAGCTCGGCTAATGCTGCCAGTCGTGGTAAGCCTCAAGGGACGCATCAGCTCTTCTGCTATTCCTTCATTAGACCAGATCTTCGGACGATATTGTCAATCTTCGCATATCATACTCAACTTGGAAGCGGTGGATTCAGCTGAGACCAGCGTCGCAGAGTATATACAAACCCAAGCTAAGAAAACACAGGACACTCTCTTCTTCAGCATCGTGGTTTCTCATACCCAGCTAACACTGAAGAGTGATTTGGAGCGGGGCAAAGTGGATTGTAGCTATAGCGTAGCCACTCCGCCAGTGGTTAGTGCTCCTGCATCTGTTAGTCAGAAGCAGCTCCGAGTATACGACACGCTGGAAGACGCGATTTGTGGTCTACGATACGAGCACCGGTCAAGCTCTTCCTTCTTGCCCGCTAACAGTCTCACTGCATTGTGCAAGACGATCTTGCATCAGCACAACAGGAATAACAAGCAATTCACACTTCCCGAGCTGCATTCGGCAGGAACAGTGGTGAGAGTCCTCGCATGTGGTGAGACAATTGCTTGCTCTGAGTACCCGTTTCTACCGGCATTCGTGATACTCGATGGTCGCGTGGCCTTGCGAGAGCATGCTACTTCACTTGGCGGTGGAAAAAGAATGTGTATTCGAAAGGCCGTGCCTTCAGCAGCGAGAGCTATCTTTCGGCGCAAGACAACAGAGAAAGATAGAGATAATATCTCTGTAATAGAAGGGTCTGTACATGGTGCTGGGCCTCGCGTGATTGCACCGCTACTTCCGTTCTGCGCCCGTGTGGACAGTGAGACTTGTTTGATCTTAGATATCGATGCCCGCAACACGCACTGGGCTGAGATAATCAAACGGTGGAGACAAATAGGCGCTATCAACGACAAAAAGTAAATCAGTGGATTCTATCTTGGTGAATTAGAGCATGGAAATGGCCTCATAGCTGAAGGGGAGCTGCTCGCACTTGGCATTCACATACAGATTAGGCCGCCTGATTTCGTCTTCGAACAAGAGCCCAACTTTCTGTAGACATTTGTATGCGACAGTGATGTAAGTATGACGTCATTATCTTGGAAGATTGGAAAGAGAACATTGTATCTACGACGTTTGACGGTTCACTCCCTGTATTACTATTCTTGTATCGTTTGGTTACATGTTATTTCTCTATTACTTCTTGATGTGTCCCCACTGTTACAATGTATGCGTTTGGTCATACACTGACTGCTCAGTGCGTTAAATTGTAATTCGGTTAATCTCCGATTTTCTTCTTTCCTGAATTATTTTCGTTCAACGGAGTCGATACTCGTGCTCTTTATTTTTTTTGAATGGTATATCTAGCTATAAAAGTTTCAGATTAATAGCGTAGTTAGATCATTTCTTCTTAGTAACCACCTATTGTCCTCTGTACATCATAGTCCCTCTTCTGGTCCTTGTATACGTCCTAAATTCCAATCGCGTGAGGCCTATTTGAAAAGTTGGTATCCAGTAACCTTCCATACGAACCTTCTGGAATCGCGCTGCTATGCCTTTTTATGACTTATTTTACATCTTGAAGTGGTTTCTTGAGACTTGATAGGATAACGTTTTCTTCAAGCCTTCGCTCACTGACTATTGTTGTACTGGGGCTGCCACATGACTCTGGAGCTTATTGGTTAGCTGGTTGTTTGAGTCTTGCGTAATAGGAACGCGTCTTTAGATTAGATGTATTTCGAGTTTACCTACTGGATGGCTATATGTTGTGCTGCAGTCCCAAAGTTGGCTGTGTTCGAGTTTGAGGTTATATATGTATGTCTGGCAGGAATCGGAGTTACGTTAAGCCAGTGTTCGAAGATATACCATAGTCTGAATTACACGTAAAGTGTAGATACTAAGGAAAAAATCAGGCCTTTTTCATATTGACGAAGCTTCTATCTTGACTTATTGCCCTATAAGCTGTGACGGGTCCCATGTACCGCACTAATCTCGCTATACAATCAGCCTATGAAGCGTCCCTGTAACATCATTGTTAGGCTTATTCTGTATGGTTCCATCTGGAAGCAATCAAAACGAAGTTTGTACACTGCTGCATAACCATGATGATTTTGATATTGCATGACGTAGTTTATACTTATTTCGCGTCAGTCCCAGCTGCTGACTTTCAAGGACTTTTTTTGAGTCTGGATGCTGGCTTTTCAGCAGAGCTCGGTGAATATCATGATGGTTTAGATTAACTTCTACCAAACTCGGTAGCGGCGTGCGGCGTGCGGCCTGCTACATCAGCCCGTGATGGTTTCCATATTGGAGCGATTTTGAGATTGCTATCAAGTCGACCTAGTAAAGAGTTTCCAGATATTGGCTGCGTATCAGAGGCCGCAGTTCGCTTATTTGTTACCGCTTGCGCACAACGGCTGCTAGATTCACTACCAAGGCGAACAAAAGGTTGTTGATGCTGAATGGGTGCATGAGATGAAAGAAGAGCATATTCGTTGTACTGCGGTCGGTGTGGTTGTAACGTTTGCCGCTGGAGACTTTCTGATTGTGGTTGTGGAGCATGCTGAACTACATGGGGAGTCCTTCTTCAGATGCATGTTGATAGGTGCAATGGAAGCCACTAGCGGCAAGACATGATTTGCAGGAGCAGATATCTCAAGATGGAATGCAAGAGAATGCCCACAGTTGCGAGACTGATTTTGTTTCAGCTTGCAATTATTGATGTAGTTCGTCATCCTTATAATGATTCATCGGTGGATGTGTACTTTTAGACTGCAAAAGGATCAGCACCCGCTTACTTCTCACGCAAACGCATAAAGACTCACATCTTTTTGTGCTCAGGGATATCGTAGAACAGATGCGCTTTGTATCCGGTATCTGGATTAGGCTCTAGCAAGTGGTCCCGGTTTGATCTCCCCCAAATCAAAGGTCCGAAGTGTTTCAACAAACTGTCACATTTACCGCAAAATTAAGTAAAACACCTCGAATGTCCGTTTGAGACGCGTCCAGTTTCTGTAGCAGGACCTGTAGCAATTCTTGTGATAGGCGGTTTAACTCTTCAGACAGAGAAAATTGATATTGGCCGTTATATATGGGGACGGCAAATCTACTATCCGATTTCAGACCCAGGCACTGTACCACAGCATAGATATAAGTTTTCCTCCTATGCGTGAAAAAGAACCATTCATCTCGAACCCATGGTCGCGTACCGTACTGCAGGTGCTGCGATCGAATGGGCTGTAGTGTTTGTTGCTGAGGATTCTGTGCTTGTGGCTGTGGAGCAAGGGTATGTATGCACTGTAACCTATGAGTTATGTTCTTTTTTGTTTCAAACTTCATCGGATAGAGTCTCTACCTTGCGTTTATAACGTCTGCAATCTGGACAAGCCCCCCTTCTTACTTTCAAACAAATAGGTAATACGTCTGGAGTCATCTTTCTCCGTTCACCATTCTGATGTCGCACGTGGGAGATACTCTTTGGCAAAAAAGTAGTTTCTACCGTTACAGCATGATTTTCGAGGCTTATCGTACTAATCCAGTTATTTTCGGTATAGCATATACTCGTGTCTCCTTGTGGTAGCAATCCTGATCTCGCAGAATGGGACGCAGAGTCATGTTTCTGTGGTTGGAAAGAAGGTGACTCTGGAGTTTCTGTTTTCTTCATCTCTAAACCCTAATGTAGAAAATCAATGATAGCCTGATGTTTTCTGTGTCCAAAAATTTGACAAACCTGGATATATTTAAGAGTATCGGGAAAGGCGTCAGAACCAACAGTGAACTCTATATCTGCCAATGGTGTCCTGTTAACGTATATCTGTTCAGCTCAATTCATAATGTTCATTGAAAGTATTCTGGCTAAACTGTGTTGAGTAGAATTGGGATAAGCATCCAGAAATACATGTGATAGCGTAAGGTTTCGATAAGGATTGGGTGAGTAATAGCCAGCGACTGAGGATCGTGTCACCATGTAAGATGTCCAAAAGGAAACCTGTGAATGTGAAATATCCCCCAGAAGTTCAGGTACATGGGGGCTTGCGTGTGAGACGTTTAGTGGTGAATTACTCCAGAACAAACGAAACCAACTTCTAATATCGTCAGCATTACGTATGCAGAATCGCTGCAAATCACTTGGTTTGTGCATCTTAATTTGGATGAAGCTAAAGCGAGCTTTCGGAAGGCAAAAAGGGCGAGCAAGGCAAAAGGGTGATGATGGCCTGGTCGAGGCCGTGTCATGTCAAAAGATCCTACTACGATTAGCCTGCAATAGCCGAGATTGCGATCGGCCAAGTGAATGTCAAGTTTCGATCAAGATGCCAATGTTATTTCAATTTGCCGTGGTGAGACTGCATGCGCGGCTGGTGTTGCCGCCGGACCTCTCTGTTGGCATATGGCCTGAGCTCTGCGGACATTACGTGACGTTCCTGAACAGGTTAGAACACGCGCACAGGGCTGGGCCTGGCACGAGCCTCGTGCTCAGACCAATTTACGACACCCAGTTTTAGCGCCATCACCTCGAGCCAGTGCATCCGGCCGCCGACGGCTACGGGACGGCTGGCCCCAACCAAGGGAAGCGCACCCCACGTTCAGCTGCTTGTTGGTCGACCCTGGCAGTTCACTCTTACACGGGTCCTGCACTGAAACCTTGGTGAACCATGCCCTGGCAGCTGGCAGCATGAGTTGGATTTAGCGACATAACCGAGGCAAGACTGTTCTCACTGCAACCGAGTCTCTTCGTGTGAGTAACATTGCAATTCTCTCATACCGCACTCGCTTTGAGAAAGGCGGTCGTGGGTCGTGCTGCGCCTAGGGGAACCATGCTCTCAACAATATGTTCCATCTGGGCGCGGAATGTCCTATTCTAGCAATGCTCCGCGCAACTACTCGTGTCTGGCTTTACGCGTACATCCACTTGTGCCAGATACACTTGTAGCCCCTTAATAAGCAAAAAGTTTCACTAAGGATCTATAACAATATGACATGGAAGCGAAAGTGATAAAACGAGTTCTTTTTAGGTCTGCAGCCTCATATCAAGGCTCTTAACCCAATCAAAACGCTGTATTTTTGCTAGTATCTCGGCTTAATTCCCAACTTGGTGTACAATCTTGACCGGAATTGGTGGCAAATCGTTTCGTACCCAGCGCACGGTCATTTGACGAGACGCTTACCGCATGTGACAGTGCTGCACAGTGCTTAGGCAGCTTATCCTAGCTAGCGTAGTCTGTCCGCGCACTGTTGCTGCCTGCTTGGCGCGTGGCTTCGGAAGCTTCCCACCATCTGATGTTATCACACCACCCACACTGCGCATGCTCGTCTCTTCAGCACACGTCGTTCCATAATTATAATGACCATCAAACCCAACGAGGTCGCACTGAAGGAAGTCTGGCCATCTTCGGATACATTAGTCTGCTGCGGAACGGTACAATATGGAAACCCAGCACACAGTCTTTGTGCTTACCAGAATTCTAGATCTATTTCCCACCTTTCGGTGGTCACGATACATATGATCGGCATCATGACCAGACTGACCCAACAAGCTGGTCAACGGCAGATACTCTGTCAACAACTCTCGAAGCCGAACGCCCTACACTACAAAAGATAATGGACGCCGGCGGCGAGATCGATCACCAGGTCATACCAGAGAGAAATGTGGACAATTGTATCAGAAAGAAGAGGGTAGTGGTTCGAGTGTTCACCAAGACATGCAAGCTCCCTGAAATAATACAGGCTTTCACAACGCTTGATGGAATTTACCTACAACAGCCGGTTGACATTAGTGACAACTGCCCATACTACGATTTTCAACTTCTGCACTTTGGGCCTCCCGATGTTGTCAAATCAGAGCATACTGAGCGAGATGGACAGGAATACTATAGATTTATCCACCTGCCAAAAGAGGTTGTTCTACAGCTACAGCTATGAGCAATAATTTTCACCTCGGTTAGCTCCATCACCCCACCAACACCAATCTAATCTACTTTTTTGAATGCCAACCACCAACGCTACACCACGCCAATTCGTCAGCTATAGATACAATAAGCTCCACCAGACTGGATCGGTACAGGATAAACCTCGCTCCGGCCGCCCACAGATACTTTCA